CTACTACTACTACTACTACTACTACTACTACGACTACTACGACTACTACGACTACTACGACTACTACTACTACTACTACTACTACTACTACTGCTACGACTACGACCTACTACTATTTACTACTACTACTTATTACTACTACTACTACTACTACTACTACTACTACTACAACTACTACTACTACTACAACTACTACTACTACTACTACGACTACTACTACTACTACTACTACTACTACTACTACTACTACTACTACTACTACTACTACTACTACTACTACTACTACTACTACTACTACTACTACTACTACTACTACTACTACTACTACTACTACTACTACTACTACTACTACTACTACTACTACTACTACTGCTGCTGCTGCTGCTGCTACTACTACTACTACTACGACTACAGTTTAAGACTGCTCGTCCCTACCTGCTCGCATGCCACCCAACACGTATTTCCCAAACCCTCGGTACCCGCCGTCTTCGTTTTCAACCCTACCCCCTTGGGAATACATCTCCCCTACCTGCCACGCATGTGTAGGCCAGCCCGTAAAACGGGGGAAGGAAGGACGGATAGGGGGAAGGATGGAGCACGAGAGAGATTAGTAGGACGGGGGGACCAGGAACAGAAAACGCGTGGCAGATCCACACGGTTTGATCGGGCGTGTAGACCCTACAATTATTGGAGGGTCGGGAAAGCGAGCCAACGCGACCAGGTCGAGCAGGTGGGTTGCTGAAGCGTGACTCCTGCATGCATCGCGAGGAATCTCGAGCGATAGTGCGATTCCCTAGTTCATCGTGAGGAAAGCCGGACCGAGAGAGCGATTCCTGTGCGTCGAGGGCGCGGCGTTTGAATACATTGCGAGGAAGTCCCACGCGAGAGCGCGATTCCTGTATGAAGTATGGGGAAGGCCTGCGCGAGACCACGATTTTGGAATCAAGTATGGGGAGGTATAAAGGGAACCGTTGTTGTTGTGACTCGGGGGCCAGGGGCAAGACCCAGGGAGGGAACTTCAATTGTAAAATACATTGTTACCGGGCACGGCGGATCAACAATAATTGTTGTTTTGAATTGAGAACTAAATCAGTTTAATATTGTTCGTTATCATCTGCTCGCACGCCACTCAATACGTATATCCCAAGCCCTCGATACCCGCCCTCTTCGTCTTCGATCGCATTCTATTTAGGAGTCTATCTTTCTTACCTGCAGCGTTCGTTTTGTGTGGCCCCCTAAGCCAGGGAAAGAGAGGACGGATGGAAGGAACGGACCAGGGGGAGGGAGGAGGAGGGAGCACGAGAGAGAGTAGCTGGAGGGGGGCCAGGAGCAGAAAGCACGTGGCAGAACTAGACGGGCAGATCTGGCGGGTAGACCCTGACGGGCGGGCCGGGGCGGCGGGGTTAGGCGAGCAGGCGGGCTGCTGAAGCGTGATTCCTGCAAGAATCGCGAGGAAGTCTCCAGCGATGGCGCGATTCCCAAGTAAATCGCTAGAACAGCAAAAGCGAAGGCGTCATTGCTGAGTGTCGAAGGCGCGGCGTCTGAATGAATTGCAAGGAAGCCCCACGCGAGAGCGCGATTCGTGCATAGATTGTGAGGAAGTTCCGCGCGAGAGCACAAGGCGTGACTCCTGAGTCTAAGGGTCACGGCGCCGCAGTAGATCGTGAGGAAGTCCCACGCGAGAGGGCGAGACCTGGATAAATCGTAAGGAGGTCCCCGCGCGAGAGTGCGATCTTGAAATATATTGTGAAGAAGAAGTCTCAGGCGGGAGCCGCTGTTGTTGTAAAGCGGGGGCCAGCAAGACAATCTCAGCCCAAATATCTCCCCTTGTAGAAAACAGGGTGCGAGCCACGAGAGGAGCGCTTGAAATGAAAAACACATGGTGCACCCCAGGGGGGGATCAACAATGATTATTCTGCTGAATCGAGAATGCAACAATAACAATAAACAGATCAAACAAACTGTGCCGCATTTTTTGGTGGTGATGTAGGCCCCTAAGGAACTCGACCACTTCCCGTCGATGTTTGAGGGTGCTGAGGCCTGGGCACGGCCTCCAGAGACCGCAAGCGTTGAAAAACCAGCCGCGACTTCGCGAGTTGGGCATGCGACGCCAAGATCTGGGGGCATCGATCCTCCGTGGATCCTCCGCCCCCGATCCTCGATCTCGGCCCTTCGATCTCCGAATTCGATCCCTCTGCCCTCGGTTCTCGATCTCGCCCCCTCGACATCCGACCTCGATCCTCAATCCTCGACGGGTCGGCCGGAGGTCCGGGCCGCGCCAGGGCGGCGGGGGGCTGGCCCTGCGCGCGCCCGCCCGGCGCGGCAGGCGACCGAGCAGGCCGAAAACGCGGGGGAGGAGGAGGAGGAGGAGGAGGAGGAGGAGGAGGAGGAGGACGAGGGCGAGGACGTCACCCCTTCCCCAGCGGGGTATAGGAGGAGGAGGGGGCACCACGAGGACGAGGACGAGGACGAGGAGGAGGAGGTGGAGGAGGAGGAGGAGAGGACGAGGAGCAGGAGCAGGAGGAGGAGGAGGAGGAGGAGGAGGAGGAGGAGGAGGAGGGCAGGCCGAGCAGGCTGAAAACGCGGGAGAGGGCGAGGACGTCATCCCTTCCCCAGCGGGGTATACCAAACCAGGCTCGCCCCTCCCCCTCCTCGTGGGTGTGCGCTCGTGCGCGTCTGCCCCCTTTTGCGCGCTCGTGCGTGGCCAGTGTCGGGCCGTGGTGTGCGTGCGCACGCGTGCGCCTGTGCCGTCGGCCGCCGCGGGCGCCGCGGGCGCGCTGATCGGCTTCTGCGGATACATCTGCGTCCGCCACCAGTGCGCGAGGACGAGGAGGAGCCCAACCTAGACCCCCTCGCGACGTGAAAATGGCAAGACGGGAGGTTTTTTTGCGATGGGCCTCTGAGGGCCCGCACTGGGCCCCAGGGCAATCAAAAAACGGCCCGAGTTGAGAAGCCGGTCCTTATTGGGGAAGCTGCCTGAACCTCCAGAAGCGCACGTTGTGAAAGTGAAAAGTGAACGGCGTTGGCAGTCTGGGAAGGAGGACGAGTACGAGCTCGAGGGCGCCAGCTATCCACCCCCAGCCCTCCAGTGACTTTTCGAGGATCCAGGTTTCAGGTTCAGTGCGTGTCCGGTGCAGGTGGATTCGCCACGGCCTCCTGGCCAAGAGGCACCCCAGAAAAGTTCCAGGAGGTGATTCTGAGGGCGGGGGGGCCCGAGTCAAGCAGTGGCGAAGCGTCCCGGCGTGCCTATAGGCCTACCAAACAATGTTCTAAGAACCTTATGTGGTTTCCACGAAATGTTCTTAGAACATTTCTGGCTGGGACTGCCCTGTTTTAAGCCATCGGGCTTATGTTCTAAGAACATTGTTTTTGTTATTAGAACGTTTTTGGGTTCTAAGAAGATTTGGTGGTAGGCCTATAGGAATGCCGGGACGGTCGGTCCCTGCTCAACCGAGGGAGCCAGCTATCCGCACCGGCGACGTGGACGTCGTCATTCCGAAGGTTCTTGAACCGTGTGTGGAGGTTCTCGTCGCCACCGCTTGCGGCGGCTCCTCCAGGGCCAATGTTTGAAGGATTCTGGTCGGGGAGAGGCGGGGGACGCGGACCTTCGACGCCTTGCCTTGACCATGAACAGAAAAACGGCTTCTGGCAAGTCTCGGCGTCTGGGGCTGTCTCCGAGACCCGCAGCCATCGAGACACGATCCAAGCCTGGCTTTGGGGAGCGGGTCGGGATTTCTGGCGACCCCGCACCGAGAAGACAAAACGCACAGAAAAGCGACGTCGTATGTCTGCGCCAGCTGGCCTCAGGAGGGAAGCACATGGAGCAGGTTTGTTTCGTGTCGGCTGGGCCGCGACCCCCCCCCCCACGGTGGTGGACCGCCGCCGGTGGTCCAGAATCGGGCAACGTGGAACGATCCGGCGATCGAGAATCCGCCGATCGTTCAAGGTTGAACGATCCACGCGGTGTCAGAAACCAACGCGCAGGTCGTCACGACACGCACCAGCCGTACCGATGCGTCGATGCGCTTTTCGCGTCCTCGCCTTTTTGGGAATCTCCCTGGGAGCCCTCGGCGCCACGGGTGGATCCGCTTCGCAACCCCGCAACCTTTCGAACCTTGAACGAGCGCGGCGGGGTCGCCGCCCAAACGACCCCCAGGCTATCCCCCCGCAACGGGCACCTCGAAGACCCAGTCGGCGGCGAGTCCGGGGGGGAAGTGAGAAGGGGCGGCCCTTCTCAGAAGACTCGGAAGTCCCCCGGCCTTCTGAGAAGTTTTCTGAGCCTTCCCCGAAGCCACAGAAAACGTCTCAGAAGGCGCAGCACCGCCGCCTTCTGAGAAGGCCTTCTCCTTCTCACGTCCCCCCCCCGCTTGCCACCACCGGCCCAGGAGCCGCAGACGCAGAAAGTTCCAGAGGCCCCCGCAGATGTCCCGGATCGGCGGCGGCCCCCGGCACAACTCGCGCGCGAGGGGGGCGGCGCGAGGGGCATCCGGCGCCGACCCAAGACGACGCCCGTGCGGCAGAAGACCCTGACATCAAGGGGGAAGCGGAGACCACCCCGACCCCCACAAGTGGCGTTCACTGAACAGCCCTGGGCGTCTGCTCAGCAGGCCTGCCCCGTTCGATTCCCTCTTTGGGTGCGGTTACTGAACGGCTTCGCTTGTCGGGGTGCTTATTGTGCAGCTCTTACGGCCAGTGCCGCCGACCCTGAAGACGACGACGACGAGGTCGACGAGGAGGAGGGGGAGGAGGAGCAGGACGAGGAGGCGGAGGACGCGGTGGAGCAGCAGGAAGGGGAGGAGGAGGAGGATGCGAAGGAGGGTGAAGATGGGGAGCAGGGGCAGGGGGAGGTCTTCGGGTGCGTTTACTGAACGCCTTCGCTCGTCGGGGTGCGAATTATGGGGGTGGTTTCGCTGCACTCTATCACAGCTTCGCACAGGCACAGGGGACGGGGGGGGTCAACGATGGGCCACCGATTTCGGGTGGGCTGGCTCCCTCACGAGGCGTTAGAAGCACCATTCGAGCCGGGGATCGACTACAGAAGTGAGTTCCCCCAAAGTCGATTTTTCCGCCGAATTTGCGAAACACACGTAGACTGCTCCGTCGACTTACGGAAATGTTCTACGCGTTGTTCGTACGTAGGTTGGGCAGGAAGTCAATTTTGGAGGAAATCAATGATGTAGTCGATCCCCTATTCGAGCCATACGAAACCTTCAGAGACAAGCTGCTTACAGAAAAATCGCGCGGAGCTCCGGAAGTCAGTGGTTCTGTATCGTCCGTGTGTTCTCTGAGCTGCCCACCCGCACCTGACATCCAGGCGTCGTCCAAGGTGCACGGCGGGCATGCCTGCGCCGTCTCGGGACCCCCTCACGGGTCGGCATGCGGGCGTGAAGATGGTGTCGAGAGCTCTGGTCGAGAGACCATCCACCTGGGCGTCAACGGGAATTCAGACCGAGATCCGTCTTGTTCGGATGTTGGTGTCGGCGTTGGGGGAGGGGGGGCGCGAACGTCGATTTCTGCCAGATGTGGGTCCCCGGAGGGGCAGGGAACCCGCACCCAGACATCAGGCGTTTCGATGTTTCAACTTGCGCCCCCGCGACTTCTCGACCACTTCTCTGGGACCAGTTTTTCATCCCGAGTTGTTTTTTGACAGCCTCGAAGCCTGGCAATGGCCCCGATAGGCCGGAAACGATGAAAAGCCTCCGTCTCGATTTTTTCGAGACGCTGGGTGTTTGGGTATGTTCCCCGCCCCCGCCACCCCGAACACCAACGGCATCGAGAATTTAGTCCCAGATGCGCCTCCACGGTTCAAGAGGGCGACACGGGGACGAACGGCATGGGGACCATGGCTGACAGCACCTGCGCTCCGTTTCGGGCAGGTGTCGTTGTCGGTTTCCCCGCGAGCGCCGCCCATCTGATGGCGCACTCGAGGCCGAGGATCGGGTCTAGACCAGCCCGTGTCCACGTCGCGACCAAGTCTCCGACTGTATGATTCGTTCAATCTGAAAATTGTTCCTACTTGTTGGCCCTCGCCGACAGGCTCGTTTCTTCTGAAAATCTGACAAGAGAGCCGTTCTTGACCCCAGGACGCTCAAAAATGGATCTGGGGCGAAAAGCTGCCCGTGGGGAAGGGGTCGGGACCTCTGGGGCCGCGGCTTGAAAAGCTCATGTTGGCAACCCCCGGGTTTTCCGCAGCCGCTGTCACTGTTGGACAACAGCTGCTGCTGGGCATCGTCCTTTGATCCTCTCAGCTCTGGGCGTGCCAAGCCGACCCTGGCAGGGCAAGGTCTGGGCAGCGGATTGGTGCAGTGCGCACTCGTGGCCGGGCCAGAGAGACACACACAAACATCCAGTATGCGCGGCCCAGTCAGGATCGGTGTAGGTGGATAGTTGGCTTTCTCATTCTCCCAGAAGGAGGCCGCGTCGATCGCCAAAGATGAAGGCGAGGACGAGGCGAGGGGCGACGCCGAGGAAGCCGAGAAGGCCGAAGCCAAGGATACGCCGAATCGGGAGGAGAAGGAGGAGGCCGAGGAGGCCGAGGAGCCCGAGGAGGCCGAGGAGGCCGAGGAGGCCGAGGAGGCCGAGGCCAAGGCAACAGCGCCGACTCGGGACAAGAAGGTGGAGGCCGAGGAGGCCGAGGAGGCCGAGGAGGCCGAGGCAGAGGTGCCAACTCAGAAGGAGGAGGAGGAGCCCGACCAGACCGACGAGGCCGAGGCCGAGGTAGAGCCACTGGTGAAAGACCAACAGGAGAAGGACGAGCCCGAGTCCGAGGAGGAGGAGGAGGAGGAGGAGACCCAGGAGGCGACGGGCGAGGAGCATGCCAAGGCCCAGGGGGAGGAACAGCACGCCGAGGCCAGGACGGAGACCGAGGCCGAGGAGACGAAAGATGGCAAGGAGGAGGCCCAGGCCACGACCGCCAGAGAGTATTGGTCTGGACCACCGGAAGTTCGAAGGTCGAGCGCTGGAAGGATTTCGAATGTCTTCCTACGATGTTCGAAGTTTTCGGGGGCCTCGTCCTCCTCGTCGTTCTGATTCTCGAGAGCCTCTTCCTCCTCGCTTTCGGGGTTCTCGTCCTTCTCGTCGTTCTGATTCTCGAGAGCATCTTTCTCTTCCTCCTCGTCCTCCTCGCTCTCCCTCTCCTCATCCACGCTGTCCTTCTCGTCTTCCACGCTACCGTCCTCCCTACTTCACCTCGTCGATCTTGTCGTCCTCTCTCTCTCTCTCTCTCGTGCTCGTTCTCCTCCTCGTCATCCTTCTCGCCCTGATGCTTGTTTTTCTTCTCGTAGTCCTCCTGGTCCTCCTCGTTTTCCTTTCGTCCTCCACGCTGTCCTCCCCACCCGCCTCTTTGTCCTCCTCCTTCTCTTTCCCCTCTGCTGTTCTTCGTCTTACGAGCCGAGTGGACACAGCGGCACCTCCTGCTCGCGTACAGGGAGGTTTTGGCGATGGCTTCAACGTGGGTCGATCATCATACAGTCACCCATGATAGTAAGGATGGGCAACTTTCCCAAGGGTACCCTTGCATCCTTTCCTCCTCGGTCCATCCTTCGCCGCTTTCGCTGGCCGCGCCCAGCTCGAAAAGCTTCGAAATGGGCGTCCAAGGCCCTTGCATCCTTGTCGCGCTGGCTGACTGTACCAGGGATGCTGTGGTGTGCGTTCCGGGGGGAACGCGCTGGGACCCCGGAGGGGACGAAAAACGTTACGCTCCCCGCTCGCACCTCTGCGACCGCCGCCGACGTCGAAAATGCATTCCCGCGCGCGTTCAGTTCCTCTGCTGTATCCTACCTTCCTCGCTCCGCTCCAGCGGCCTTCGAGCTTTCCACACAGTTCCCTCCCGTGGTCGGCTGGTGAGCGAGAAGACACCAATCTCCTTGTGGACGTGCCCCCCTGCAGGCCAACAACTCCGAGACGGCCGACGAGGACGACGCAGAGGTTGAAGGCACGGCTCCGCCCCGTAATCGCCAAGACATCCAGAAGAGTGTTTTTTTTCCATGGCGGCGCTCCAAGTTCGGCCTCCGTGGGCCGTCTTATCAGACGATCGGAAACATGGATCAGGGTGGCACGGATTAGCGACGGGTCCTGTTTCCATGGGAAATCACTGATTTCCGCCGCCGAACGAGGCGGCACCGGCCGCATTTTGGAGAGGGCACCTCCCCCGATCCATGGATTTGGCGTCCGCGCGCCAAGTCCATGGATCGCTAATCCATGTTTGCGCGCCCCCGGAGTTTCGGCCTCCGTGGGCCGTCTTCGGGCCCGAGGACTGTCAAGAATGAGACTGGGACGAGAACTTCCCCTGGGGAAGGAGGGGACCGAGACCTCTGCGGCCCGCGGTTTGTGGAGATTTCGCATCGTCGGATGTCAGGGCCACTCGCCCGGGTGAGTTCTTGAAGGGCCCAGTGGGTGTTGCTTGGAGTTGGCTGGGGGTCTGAGGTGGCCCAGCACTGGTTCCGACCAGCAGGAAGGGTAGGCGAGGTTGGAGGTGCTGGGTTCGGGAAGGTGCTTTGCCTTTTACGGCCTCCAGGAGCAGTTCCTGGGCCCCTCAAAATCGGGTTCGGGGTGGAGGAATTGCACCAGATGAACCCCAGGAGAGGTCAGGACAGATTTTGCGCGAATTTGATGTGGTCCTCCCTTCTTAAAAAATGCTCTCGTGGCCCATCCAGTTCAGACACCCCGGCCGCCTCCACGGTGCAGTTACCATCACGCGCGCGCACGCTCCCGCGCGCTTCTCGAGCGACGAAGAGCGCATCTTTCAGCACCCACGGCGCCGAGCGCGGGCCTACTCGCAGACGCTGGGTGCTCGCAGCGGCACGCACACGTTTCTCGCTCAGGAGCGCTCCGCGCGGCGCCCACGCGACAACTGGGCGCCCGATGCCAGCAGTGAATGAGTGGTAGACGGGGACACGGCGAGAGGGAGGCGAGAGGAGATGGGATAAGCAGGTTGGCTCGGACTGGTAAGCAGCCCTACCTACCATCGCAGGATCTGGGTAGGACCACACACGCACACTTTGAGCTGCACGGAAGCATCCCTTGTTGACAGCACTTGCACCACGAACTATGTGTGTATTGATTGTGTGTCTGGTGGTGGCCGCGGGCCTCAAAGTTGACCCCGGGACGTCTCTGGGAGTGCGTTCTTGCCAGAACTTCGAGTGGAATCCAGCCGTGGCGACGTTGTCGCTCCCAAGAGGCCAACAACTGTCCAAAGCGTGTTCAACTACAAAGTATGGCTTGTTGGTGTTACTATGCTTTCCGTGATTTCTTGTTTGAAGGTTCGTTCGTTTCGTTGTTTTCAATATTGGTTTACATCGACATACGTTCTCATGTTTGGAAGCGTAGTCGTTGGAGTTATGGTGCAGGCCATGCCATGATGCAAGGTGCACGAAACACCGAGTCCATGATACCGCGCTCGGGGTAGATGGACGTACCTCAATCCGAGATGTGAGATGCGTGGACAAAGAGCGAAGCCGCACGTGGAGTTTGGGAGTTGATCCGAAAGAGCGGTTCATGGAAGCGCACAGCATGGAGCACGCGGAGCATTGAGAGGACGTTATACCAGAAACCAGCAGGAACCGAGGAATTGAGCATGGCGAGCGCAGTCTACAACATATGGGGATCATGTGGTGTGGCATTGTTTTCGGCCGATTGGGATCTGTTCTGGGGCCCACTCGTGGCCTGTTGGTGGTAATTATTGCATCATGTCTGAGGGTGTAGTCCTCCTGGACCTTCTTGGGGGCCCCTCTTGGGCCGTCTGGGAGCATCTTGGACCGCTTCAGGTGCCCTCGTATCTCTTGGGCCGCCTTTTATGCCCCTCTGACGCTGTCTTGGTGTATCCTTGGGCCGCCACTGACCCTTCGAGGCCGTCTTGGAGGTCTTTGGGGGCCGTCACCGACTTGGGAGCCAACCCCTTTTCAGCCGCCTGGGGGTTCTCCAAGGCCGTCCTGACCCGATGTGGGAGCCTCCTTCGGGGCAGTCATGTGCCCATCTGGGGTCGCCCTGGGCCTCTCTGAAAGCCCTTGTGGGCCCCATTCGGCTCGTCTCGGGGCGATGTTGGGGGTCTCTTGGGCTGTGTTCTCCGCTCGTAGCGCTTGAAATCATGATACGCGTGTTGGCATGATTCGAGTATGTGTGGGAAGTCATGGGTTACGCCGTCTTGGAGGCGTCCTGGAGGTCCACAGTGGGCAGTCTTGACCGCATGCGATGCCAGCTTGGGGCATCTGAGCTAGCCTGACAGAAAGTGCGGCCTCTCGGTGCCGCCCAGAGCTTGGCTGCCTCGCTACGCCCGTTTTGATACGCAACACATGCCGTGCTCAACACGTCCGCGTCAATACGTTGCGTGTTGGCTCCACTTATTGGACCACGTTTTGGCGAACGTATTGCGTCGGACCTACGTTTTCAGCCTACGTGTTGAGCTCCGTAACAATACGATATTTCCCCACTCAGAGGCCCCGCATGGCCGGCACGCGCTGCGTGGCTCACAGTCGCTCGGTTCCCCCTTGCGCTGTGGGGTGGTCTGACAGGGGCTGGCTTCGTTACGGCGTGGTGCAGCCTTCCGCAGCAGGTTCAGCCTTTCAGGCTCACCTTCAATTGTCCCCAGTTGCCTTGCACCACGGCTCACGACTGCTCAGCCTTCTGGCTAGCTCAAGTCGTCAGGGCGTTTGGAGCCTGGCGCCCCACTGGCGACTCACTCCAATGGCCTCCCACTTGCCATCCCCCAGCATGACGGACTTGACCATCCTGGTCCACGTCTCTACTGTGTGGGTCGTGCCATGGCAAGCACCGAATTCCGAGACACTTTGTCCTGTGCACGCGCTCGAGCTCTCAGGACGCCGTCCGCCGTCAGCTCCCCTTTTCAGCCTCGCAACTGCTGTGTGAGTGGGCCGGCCGGCCTGTGCCTGTTGTAGCTAATGTGCCTAATTCGCGTCCCGGACTTTGCTCTTGCCGCCTGACCGTCGTCTCGTGGCCGCGACCAAAAAGTGTTGAGCTCCGTATCAATACGATACGTGTTGCGTGTTGCGCATCGGGGCAGTTGAGGTCCAGAGCCTTCTTGGGACTGGCTGGGGCCCTCTTCGAGGTCCTGGGTCCCCGCCCCCCTGGTCTGGAGATTTGCCTTTCTCCCATGTGACCTCGCGAGGGCGCGCATTCAACCGCGTGCCGTGCCTCGTTGGGCACGGTGCGCGAAGTCCGGTGACCTGGACTCTCTCGGCCCCAGGTACAGTCAACCATGACAGTAAGGATGGGCAGCCTTCCCAAGGGTACTCTTGCAACCTCGCCTCCTCGGTCCAGCCTTGGCCGCTTTCGTTGGCCGCGCCCCGCTCGAAACGCTTCGACATGGGCGTCCAAGGTCTTTGCATCCTTATCGCGCATCTGTACTATCCGGGTTGACTGTACGAGAGTGGCGATGTTGATTCAGCCCCTTCAGTTTCTTGCTTGAGTTTCGCATTGGCCTGCGAAGAAGGGCGGGTTCAAGCCAAGCCCAGGAGCAGCCATTCTCGGGCCGCGGTGCAGTGCTTAGGGCCAGGGGTATGTGCAAGAAGATGCAGACATCCGATAGTGTGATTTGTTCAATGCGGGCGCTCTTCACCAATTAGCTTTCGGGGGGGGCGTGTCGGGGCCCGAGGCCAACAAACTAATACTCAGGATCCAAGACCATTCCTGAGGAAAGAGTCGGGATTTCCTGGGGAGGATGGGTCGCATTGAAAAAATTGAGACGTCGAAGGGACGGGTACGGATTCGTTTGCCTCGCGGTGGAATCGGGTCAAGCCATTTCTCGTTGGCCGATTGGCAGATGGCTTGTTCTGTTGGCTCGAATGCTGTCCGAGTATGGCGCTTTGCCTCTGCATGTCATGCGTCCGCGCGTTGATTGCGCCCTGTTCTTTGACGTGTGTTTCGTGGAGATTGCAGCGCGGTGCCACAGTGCGGCCCAAGAGAACCTTGCTGCGGCACTGGACGCCAACCCGTCTGCCAATCTGCCTTGTGGGGCGCTTCGGCGTTGGGCGGCCAGGAGCGAGGTTGGAGGGAACGACGGGCGGATAGCATCAACCTATCGAGCACGAACGAGCTATCGAACACGCATCAACCTATCGAGCACGATCAACCTAACGAGCGGAACGGCGAACGGGGTGCTCGAACGCGAAGTATCGATCGGATGACATCACTGATGTTTTTGGACGCAGGCCTATCGCCAGCCTGGCGTTTTCATGTCGCTGGTTGGCACGGGTCTGGGTGAAGGGAGGGAGGGGGGGCGGCAGATTGAGGAGGGCAGGAAGGAGGATGACGCAGGGGGGAAGAGCAGGGTGGAGGGAGAGGAAGAGGGAAAACAATGGTCGGGGACGGATGAAGGCGCGAAAAACTCTTCGCACGATTCGATCGAGGATCGCACAGGCACATCACAGCTGCCAGCAGCCAGGTGCTCAGGGCCCTGGAGGCCTGGAGGTTCTGCCCAGGACGCGCATCGGGGACCTCTGGTGTGCGGTGTCCTGCGCAGGTGGGGCGAGGGGAGGCGGATGAGGTTGACAAGGAGGGAGGAGGGAGAAGGAGGCGTAGGTTGGGGGTGGAGGAAAGGGAAAAAGGACGAGGAGGAGGAGGAAAAAGAGAAGGAGGAGGAGGAGGAGGAGGAGGAGGAGGAGGAGGAGAGGACGTAGGGCCTGTCACAGCTGAGACTCTTGCACCTCCTCTGCCCCCGCCCCTGCGTTCTGCCAGGCCCGCCGCACAAGAAGGCCAGGACGGCGAGCACGAGCACGGACGGGGAGGCGGAGGAGCGCGGAGACGGCGAGGGCGATGCCGCGCCCGAGCCGCCGCACAAGAGGGCCAGGACGGAGAGCTCGGACGAGGAGGCCGAGGGCGACGACGGCGAGGACGCGACGCCCGCGGCGGCAGGCGGAGGGGCGAGCCCTTGAACCTCCACCCTCCGCACCTGCCGCACGGCGGCTGTGGCCGCCGCCGCGGCCACTGCGGCGTCGGCGGCCGCACCGCGGCGGCGCCCGCCGGGGGGGCCCGAGGGCCCGAGGGGGGGCCCGAGGGCCCGAGGGCTCAGAGGGGGGGGGGGCTCGAGGGGGGGGCCCGAGGGCTCGCAGCCCGGGCCACCCGCGGGGGTCGCAGGGCGGCCCTCTGGTCTGCCTCGCGGGTCGGGGCCAGAGGGCCGCACTGCCCTGTGGGAGTCGCGCGGGGGGCGGGCGCGCGCGGCGCGGCGCGCGAAGTCCAGTGGCCTCGACATCTGTTCCCGGCGTGGGCCTCCCAGACCCCAGACCCCTTCCCCCGGGGCGAGCCTCTCATCCCGGGTCGTTGCCGAGCAGCGCTGGGCCCCAGGAGTGGCTCCGGGTCGCCGACGACGGAGAGACGAGCCTGGCGAGGTTCCAGAGGTCTCCAGCCGTCTCCGGAGGTCACGTAAGACCCCGGAGTAGACGCGCATCTCAATATGTCCACATTGTAAGTTTTTGTTGTTGCCCAACGGGGATAGTGGTGTCAATATCATAGTTGATGTTTGTTTTTGGTTCCGATGGTGGTGCTATGCTACTTTCAACATCCAAAACCCGCCACTGTACCAGCGCAGCTGATCAGCAGCTGGGAGATTGAGTTGAAGACCCCCTCATGGATATATTATGCAAATGTGTTCGGTCTTGCACACCTCCTCCCCTGTCCTCTTCCTCGGTCTTCTGTTCCGTCATCATTCGTCCGCCTCCTCCTCCTCCCCCTCCTCCCCCTCCTCCTCCTCCTCCTCCTCCTCCTCCTCCTCCTCCTCCTCCTGCTCCTGCTCCTGCTCATGCTCCCTCCTCGCACTGTGAAGGGATTTAGAGCAACTTTGGACCCTCTTTGTGGCATCTTGGGGCGTCGTGGGCCCTCGTGAGGGCCTCGCGGGTGCCTGTCAGGTACTCGATCGAGGCCTGTCGGCGGTCTCGGGGCCATCTTTGGCACAAAGGCTCCACCGACCTGTCCCGAAGAGGCTCGGTTCGACCTTGAGGGCATTTGGGCGGATCTTGGAGTCGTCTTTGAAGCCTCTTGGGCGCTCCTGTGAGGTTCTCGGGCTGTCTTGGGACCGTTTGGTGTACCTCTCGGGGCAATTTGCGACAGTCTCGCAGGCTTATTTGGGGCTCTCCGAGGGCTACCCTGGCGACCTGGAGGCAACACAAGACACATGTTTATACTGTCTTCTCCATGCGCTTCGCCTCTTCGGGCCTCGCTGGAGGTCTCCATGGGCGTCTCTTGGAGGCTTATTGAGGCATCTTCGAGAGATCTTGGAGCGTATAGGGGATTCTTCGGCTGTCTTTAGAAGATGCACATGGAGTGTCTTGCAGGCGTTTTGTGGAGGTCGTTGGCTGTCTTGGAGCCGTCCTGGGGACCACAAGATCACTGGAGTAGAATTTGGTGGCGAGTTTCCTGGTGTCCTTGGGGGGGTCCGCGTAGCAGGCAATTGCGGCCGCAGGCCACCACGTCTACTGCAACGGCCAAACAGTGTGATAAAATGTTGTGCGCCAAACACCCCTCGGGCAGGCTACGGGGGCGGCTGATCTGGTGCCCTCCGGTCCATCCCGCTCACCGTGCTTGGGTTTGGTCCAGAGTCCTTTTGGATGCCTACGCGGAGGTCCAGAAAGGCAACAACAGCAACAACAACAACAACAACATCAATCATTTTAAGATTGTTCGCACTTATCTGTTCGCGTGCCACTCATCACGTATATCCCAGACCCTCGATACCCGCCCTCTTCGTCTTCGCCCGTACCCTCTTTGGGATCTATCTTTCTTACCCGCAGCGTGTATTTCGTGCAGCCCCTGAGGCAGGGGAAGAGAGGACGAATGGAAGGAAGGGACAAAGGGGAGGGAGGAGGATGGAGCACGAGAGAGACTAGGAGGAGGGGGGCTAGGAGCAGAAAACACGTGGCAGAACCAGACGTGCAGATCGGGCGGGTAGACCCTACCAGGCGGGTCGGGAAGGAGGGTCCAGGCGGCCAGGTCGAGCAGGTGGAATGCTGAAGCATGCGTCCTGCATGAATCGCGAAGCAGTCTCGAGCGACAGCTGGATACCCAAGTCAATCGTGAGGAAATCCACAGCGAGAGCGTGACTCCTGAATGTCGAGGGAGCGGCGTCTGAACAAATTGCGAGGAAGTCCCACGCGAGAGTGCGAGTCCTGAATACATTGTGAGGACGTCCCGCGCGAGAGCCCGACTTGGGAATAAATTTCATGGAAGTATACGGAGGCGACGACGACGACGAGGACAACAACGCCGACGACGACGACCACGACGAGGACAACGACTGCGCGACGACGACGACCGCGGCGACGAGCGGTGACGACGATGTGGAAGTTCTGTGGGGAGGATCTGCGGCTGGATCCAAGAGCGCGCGCGCGCAGAGCGGGAGAGCCCCACAGCTGACGCGCGCGAGAGGAGCACGGTCGCGCCGCCGCGCAGACGATCCTGGTCGAGCAGGCGCGCGCGCGCGCGCTCGCGCGCGCGGCGGGCGCGGTCGTCGTTGTCGTCGTCGTCGTCGTCGTCGTCGTCGTCGTCGTCGCCGTCGCCGTCGCCGTCGCCGCCGCAGTCGTCATCGTCGTCGTCGTCGTCGCCGCAGTC